TTATTCTTCAAGTTCTAAAATATCTAAACTCAATACCTTTGGTTTTAAAAGGACAAACCAAACAACCTACAATATTTAATCTCTAACCTATGAAAATTTTAATACCAGGCTAATCTTCAACCTATCTTGGTTTTGACCAGACTAACCAATAACCACTGAAGATTTTAACAATGGCGATCCACGTGCACTTAGGTACAATTCTTCTCATGGGCTCACCACTGTGTTTTATATGTGGACATGTATTGCATGATATCGAATAGGAACACATTATATATATATATATATATATATATATATATATATATATATATATATATATATATATATATATATATATATATATATATATATATATATATATATGTAACTTTCAACTCATATTTGCAAAGTCTTACCTCAAACTTATACTAACTTAAACATCAAAATGCTAATAATTTTTACATATAACTTCTCTGACTACTAAAGAATTTTCTCCACAACATCACAGTGATCTCCATCAATATACCAATTGTTTTCAGTTCTAATACAAAATAGTTTAAAATATGTCAGGGGTTCCTATAAATATGGTGACCTTCAATTTTAGTCGCTACAAAAATTTACTTCAAACAATGGTCCTCGCAATATTTTCCATCCCTATTTTTGGTCCCTCTCATTAGATTCCACTAGCGGTGGATTACGTGTCATGCCACTTGTATTTTTTTGTTTGAAACATAGGATTTGTGTTAAATAAATAAAGTATTGTCACATTTAGAACCCTAATTCCATTCTTCTTCAGTCCCTTTCAACTGATATCTGCCTCGTCTTCTTCTTCAACATCAACCTTAATCTTTAATTTGTGTCATTCATCTTCTTCAAACCTCATCTTCCAGATACGATGTCATCTTCATCAAGGAGAAGCAAGTAAAAATCTTATCAATCCACAAGTATGAGTAACCGTCCAGGGAGAAGATGTGTGTGTGTGTGTGTGTGATGCTCGAATGATTCTGTACCACTGTAAGAATGAACATAAAAAAGGTCACCTCTTTTGGAGATGTCCGTTTTGGCAAGAAGAAGAAACTTGTAACTTATTTATATGGAATTATGATATTGCACAAGGAACTGATGTTTATGAAAGGGTAGATGAATAATGGAGTAAAAATGAGAGTTAGGTGAGAGAGATGTAAGTTGTTGAAACTATGAGGGAGTTGTATGAAAATTCACTGAAGAAGAACAAGAAATTGCAGATGAAGATGAATTCAGATGCACTGTCTCGAAAGTTGAAGTTATTGTATCTTGTTTTTTTAATGGTCAACATGTATTTTCTATTCAAATGTAACTATTGAATTCTTATATGGTCTTTTTGCTCAGGTTATAATGGTTGTAATGTTCTTGGTTTGATTTAGAATAGTTCAATTATATGAGTGTGACTCATGAAATGCAATGTTATTTGTTAAAATTGATCCTTGTTGTGGTTAAATTGAGATAATCTGATTTATTTAATGTTGTAAGTTTCAGTTCATATTAACATGAAAGTGGTATGATCTATAATTTGGATATCATTTGGCCTATAATATACACACAATGTGTTCTATAAAATTGACATGATGTATGGCACATATATCTGCATAATTTTGCCTATAAATTTGGCCTAAAAAGTAGACTAATATGTGATTCATTAACATAAATAAATATTTCCAAAATGTCATTCATTCATTAACAATTAGATACAGTTGGTCAATACATCAAAAAATTAAGTGGTACAAGCCACAACAATATTACAGTACAAATTTGTTCATAACATAAACCATATTGTTCATAAAACACACAACAAAAAAGTCTATATGTCTTCATCATTGAGTCATTCCTTTGCAAATTTCTTCCCAATTTTTTGAAAGCCTTCCACCATCAGTCAAGTCTGTTGTGGTTTCCTCTTCATTGATAACCAAAGGATCATCAAGCTTTATTCCAGGGCCACCAACTTCCTTTGTTTTAAGGGTCCCCAGCTTGTCACTTTGTCTTTTTGAAACACCCATAGCAGCAGTTGTGTTAAGCTTGGTCTTCTGTTTTGAAGTCTTGACATGTGCAAAACAATAAGAGTTAAGAACGTTGTAAAAATAGTTAGGCAAAAACTTTTGAAACATTTTGCAACACCCATACTCACTGGTTTACTGTAAGTTGGCCTTTTTGAAGATGATCATAGGGCTTTGAAAGTTTTTTTTTTACAAACCTTTGGAGTTTTACCATAGAAAGTCCTGACACTTGTCTTCAAAGGTGAGGATTCAACACTCAAAGGTTGACCATCTAATATATCATCATCCTTAAATATTGCAGCCAAGGTGTCAACATCTATACCATAATATTTCAAATAAATAAGATTGTAAATCATTGTTGACAATTGGTGATTATGGTTCAGCCTCAACTGGTGCTTTATGTCCAGCCTCAACTTGTACTTCGTGTCCAGCCTCAACTTGTGCTTCTAGTTGAACTTGAACTGATGCACATGGTTCAACCATAATTATTGCATCAGGTTCAAAACTAAGTGGTACTTCTGCTTCGTGTCCAACTTTTGAATCAGGTTCAGCACTAATTAGTTCTTATGCTTTAGGTCCAACTGTTGAATCAGGTTCAACACTAACTGGTGCTTCTATTTCAGCAGCAATTGTTGAATTAGGTTCAGAATTAATTGGTGCTTCTACTTCAGCACTAATTGTTGAATCGTGTTCAACACTAACTGGTGCTTCTGCTATAGCCTCAAGTGTTGAATTTTCTTTAATCTTCTTAGTCTTTGGTTCAGTCTTTTCCTTCTTTGCTTTATTCTTCTTAGTATTTGGTTCAGTCTTTTCCTTCTTTACTTTAGTTTTTTTAGGCTTTGGTTCAATTCAACTTTTTTCCTTGTTGATAGCCCCCATAGGACTCCCATAATGGACAAAAATACATTGTTATATCACAGTATCATAATTACAATCAATATGTAAAAAATAGTGAGTTAGTACAATACCCTCTTTTTGCTAGTCTGACTGGCCTGTGTAGGAATCTCTGCTCTAGGCATATCTTGGGCAGGAATATCTTGTGTATTGACAGATGGTACAATAACAATTTTTTTATTGTTCTTGCAAGTCATATTGTTGTGTCCTAGTTCAGAACATATTTTGCATTTGTGGCTTGTACTTATTTTTTGCCACTTTGTTTGACTTGCCTCATCAGGTTCTCTACTGCATAGTTTTTTGGGCCTCCCTGTGCCACATTTGAACAAGGGTAGCATAATAATAGGATTAGATGTCTTAGGCCACTTGTTTTTACCATTTAAAGGAGTGATCACTTCATTTTAACAATGTTCACAATTGGTCCTATGATAACATTTATGCACATACTTGACTGGATCATCTACTTTCCTATGAATTGCTGCCACAACATGCCTGCATGGTATCCTAACTAGTTCCCAATAGTTGCATGTGCAACTATTTTTTTCCAAGTCCACTACAAAGTTATTAGTAAAAAGAACACGTGTAACTTGAAAATTTAACCTACCAACATATGTTGTTGTCCAACTAGCACTTTTCCAAGTCCACTTTATTTTGGGAATGGCCTCCAAAATGGCCTCCTTGATCATGAGCATCCTTGCCTCATGTGCCTCAAAATAAGTTGCCTTTACAGCAGTCATCATTAGATCCATGAACAAGGTTCCTCCACCGAACTTCTTTTTGAAGTTAGCATATAAATGCCTTAAGCAAAATTTATGCTCAAAACCTGGGTACTCCTCTTCAAACACTTGCACCAGACCCTATTGCGTCAAAACATTAAGTAGTTGAGTTAAAACAATATTCAAATATGAATAAAAATTATTAAGATTAGAATTTACCTTTTACTGGTCAGATATGAAAATCATTTGCTATCTCCAATGTCTTCCAACAATAACTTGATGAACTAGCCCCATGAGTCTTTTGTTTCATTCTCTACAACACCAAATGTAATAGGCATATATTGGTCATTTGGATCTCTTCCTATATCAATGAGTAGGATACCATCATACTTGTACTTCAAGTGACATTAATCTAAGCCAATAAATGGTCTATATGCTTTTGTTAATGCTTTCTTGGTCCCATAAAAACACATATAGCACCTCTCAAATCTTGGATTCAAACTTCGACCTGAACAACTAGTATTGATTTTGAAAGTATTTCCCGGGGATGCCCTTTTTAACTTGGCACCATAAGACCACAACATGTTAAATTTTTTTCTAGAATCACCTTTCATAGCGTCTCTAGCTATCTGGCTTGCCTTAAAAGCTTTACAACATGAGATTTTTGTGGCATACCTAAGACTACCATTTGCTACCACCTCATTTAATTTCATCTTAGAGTTATTATTCAACCCATCCACAATGACCTTAGCAACCCATTCAGCTTTAGCACTTTTATTGAAGAATTTTCTTTCACACTTGTGCTTAGAATACAAAGTTTTTATCCTAAATGTTGTGGATGTTAAGACTCTACTACATAGGACAGTGAAGTTACATTTCTTTTTATCCTTAAATACCACCATACATCCATTGGCAACATTTTTTTCAAACCTCACATCCCAACAATTCAAAACATTATGCTATAGAATAACATCTTTAAACTGCCTCAATAAACAAAACTCCATTTCAACTTTGAAAACAAAATCCTTCTCTCTAGTTCATCAGTCATGTAGTCCTCCTCAATGACATGGCCTTTCATCCCCACTATCATCATCAGCTCCACTATCTAGTTCATCAGTCATGTAGTCCTCCACAATGACATGGACTCCATTACACATGGTCTTTCATTACCAGTATCATCATCAAATCCACTATTTAGTTCATCAATCATGTAGTCCTCCTCAATGACATGTGCCTTGCCAATCTCTTCTTTGATAAACATGTTCTTGACTGGTTAATTAGGGGCATCATTGTTTGCAACAGGTCGAGTTCTAAGTTCACCATCAACCTCTGCACCAACCCCTTCATCAAACCCATCATCAAACTCATTCATCCTCTCTTCTTAGTTATCATCAAAGTGAACATCCCTCACAGATTCATCACTAGATTCACCACTGCAGTCGCTTATTTTTTCCTTGTCTTCTTCACAAGACTTACCCTTCCCTTTTTCTCTAGCATTATCCATTAATGTGAAGTCTCCTTCATCTAGTTTTGGCTCACAGTATATCTCAATTTCACATTTATTCCCAAGAACAAACATAGCTAACTCAGAGGCATCTCAATCATCTTTGAATGATTTCAAATGTGCTTCAAGGGATCCTTCATCATGTTTCAACCACATCTTAACAATGTTAAAATCAAACTTAGGGTCAATACTTTTCACTAAGTCACGGGCTTCAATGAAAGACCAATAACCTGGATCTTGACTACTAAACGCATACACTTCACCACCATTATATTTTAGGTCAGGATCTTTTACATAACAACCCTTTGTGTAGAAAACTACCTTAAATGTACCCATTTCTTGTACGGTTAATAAACCCATGTTTAAAATTCTCCAAATTAGGTCAACCAAATACAATAGAAAGTACAAAGCTAACATGTATACGAATAGAACTTCAAAATCACTGTCCTACACTAATTAAAGTTTCTTTATCTACCACTGCCATTTCAAAATTACAAGATAAGCAACAAATCGACATATCTGGGACCACACAGAAGAAAGAAGGGAACAAACACCACGTGAATGTTCAATTTGGGACCACAAACTCGAAGCTTTGTTGTTGGGACCACACGAACCTTGAAGAGCGTAGGCGAAGTGTGAACTTGGTTAGGGCTTCGGTCGAGCAAAAAGAGGGACGATTGTGACCTTTCTTTAACTTAGTCATAATGGTTTGGTGTTAAAAGATAGGTTACGTTATCAAATTTCCACGTTGGCGAATCATGAAAAAATAAATCCACGTGAACAACTTAAGTTTGTCACACGTAAGCCTTTGTTAGTGGAATCTAACGGGAGAGAACAATTATAAGACAAAATATACTGCGAGGATCCTTATTAATTTTTTTTTTATAAAGCCTAAAATTAAAGTGTGTCATATTTATAGAGACTAAAAACATATTTAATCCTTTAAAATATTACACACATTCAAGGAGAAATCATATTATACAATTATAATATTAGAATATTATAACACTTTTTAATAACTTTTTACAAAATTTGTATTATAAGAATCATTGTTAGATTTAGAAAGTTCATATCATTTATATTATTTTATAAATTTTGAATATAAAATATTTTTTATAAGTCATTGTGAAATAATATATGTTTCAAAACAACTTTTTATAAATTTTATAATTCAAATGATTGATTTCTTTTCAAAAAAATGTAATAAAAATTATTTAATTAAATCACTCTAAATGAATTATATTTAATAAAAATTTAAAAGAAAAAAATTTAAAAAAATAAAGACACTGTTCAAGTCCAGTCAAAGAATTAAAAATGTTAAATCACTCTAATGCATTTCACAACTCACCTAAAATTCCTTTTTTTTTCCCCTACTCATCTCTCTTTATACAAAGTTTTTATCCCTGTCATTAATATGAAATTAACGGTTTAGGTTTAAATTTTACAGAAATAAAATTAATTATATTCTAAAAACTAATTTAAATTCCAACGGTCTAGATCAAATCACTACACAATCCAAACCCAAGAAATAAAAGAGAGAATTGAAAAGAAAAAACAACAAAAAACCTCATGTCACAAAGAACCTTGATGAGATCAAAGACAAACAATTTTTTGTTTCATTTTAGAAAACAATATAGGTCGCTATATAAGGATCTTATTTTTTTTATTCTTTTGTTTTTGTTCGACCGTTCAAATCCGATGCCTACAAACATGAATATTGACATTCAAAAACTTGGAATGTTGAAAAACAAGAAACCAACAAATAAAATAATCAAATAAAAAGAACTTTGAGGCATGGTATAGGTTGAGTTTGACCTATACTTAACTTCTTCTTTTTTTTAATTTAAATTTTATTTTTAAAATTATTTTATATTAATTTTTTAGTATAAAAGTAAATAATCTGAAAAAATATGGTGTGATTAAAATTGAAAATGATTTTACTGATTGATCAGAATCTGTAAGGTGACTGGATGATGATCTTTAGACGGATTGAAAAGTCGAGGAGGAAAAGAGAGGATTGTACCTACAAGACACTCTAGCGATGTAAGTGTGGAAGTAAAAAGAGATACAAGCAAAATATTAGGATTTTAGTGATGAATAGTAGATATTCGATATATGGCCCTCACATGAGTGGGGGTTTATATAGTGCCTCTGGCGCTTGGCCATTGGTCCTTATTTTAAGCCTAGATATGTGGGTCCGTAAAAATAGGTAACTATCAGGATTTGGTCAAACCGGGCAGGTGTGCCCGCAACTAGTCATTAGTTCCGAGGAGGAGGCAGGTTACGGGCAGTAGTCTGGTCGGTTCCTAGTTGTCTGACCAACTTGAGGTCGGGAAGACTGAGAGGCACTCATCGATTGTCGTAGGTCAGTGCTGGTCCAGGAGGACAAATAATCGATGATGCCCAACGAAGGACAAGGGAGCCCGGACTGTGGTCGCGCGGGCCGTGCCGAATGAGGAGGTCAGACTGGGCCCACTCTAGCCGTTGGGCCATTCCAGAATAGTAGCCCCCCAAGTCGTTGCTTCTAGGCACATGAGTGATAACTTTATCACCTTCTCGTGGAACAGGGTGCTTCTTACGGGGAGCATGAGCGTCGCCCATTGTGTCTTTCTCGCGGGGAGATGATTAGTTGGTCGTTTGAGCTTTGAAAATTAAAGAGGTAGTGTGCTGATGCAGTGGCGCAAAGATGACCTAGGGGCTAGTGTGCAATGATGACCATGCTATGGTTCCAAAGGCGTGTGTCTCTCACGCGCGGGAGAGTTTAGCTATAAATATGAGAGGAATAGAGCATTCTGCATTTTTCGTTCTTCTCTCGCATTGCTCGTTATTGCTCGCCTGTCGATCATCACTGTTTCCTGAAGATTAATTGTTCGTGTTGTTCCTTTCAACTTCCTTCCTTCTTTAATTAGTAAGATTCCAGATTTTCGTTGTTATTTAGCTGTTGTAGCCTAAATTTTCACGATTTTCTTCTTAGAAATGCATGCGTTAGGCCTAGGATCCTGTCTGTTAAGGTGTTTTGGGGGAGTGTTGGTGGTAGATGGTGGTTTTGTAGTTTAGAATCGTTGGACCCGTCGTGGTCCTTCCTGGATTTTTCACGACGTGCCATAGATGGTCCTTGAGGATTTAGGTTGCTTTGCTGACTAGAGTATGCCTAGTTATGGAAAATGGTTGTTCGTTTAGATGCCTTAGTGAGGGTTCTGGTCAGGGACACGGTCCTCATTTATCAGCGCCCTTTCACTTGATTAGTGGTGGAAGGGTGGTTTTAACATTGATGTCGACCTCACCTCTATCCTCTGCTTTTCAGGTACTATAGTCGATAATGTCGGAGGCGACATCTTCGAGGAACCTATTGGGTCTTCTCAAAGTTCTACGGACGAGACTCGTAGCACGTCGAGCATCTTAGAGATATTCGGGGACGAGCCGAACCAGTCTGATCAACAAGTAGGGGGAGAGGATGTGGAGATGGCCCCCACTAACAAGGGTGGCCTATTTGCACCTAACAATAATGAAGACCCGAGGACGTGGGTCATGGAGAATCATTAGGATCATGGGTGCTATTTTATTGAGCATCGGGACGACGATTTTACTGATGTATCTTCGTACTTGGCTGGTGACGACGACACAAAAGACTGGTCAGTGTAGGTCGCTGAAGAGAGCGACCATATCTGCTCGCAATATGATAAACGGAAGATATCGCTGTATGATATAGTGTTTCGGGATATGGTCCTCCGTTTACCTTTTTCAGATTTTCAGGTGGCCGTTTTCAGACATCTCCAACTGGCTCCCTCTCAACTGCACCCGAACGGGTCCGCTTTCATGCGGGCGTACGAGATCGTGTGTGATTAGTTGAGGATAGGGGCCACTATCCCTTTGTTCTTCTATTTCTTTCACCTTCATAAGATCAAGGTCAACGGCAAGTGGGGATGGATTGCTTTGAAGAAAGCCAATGGGAAGCATTTCAAAGCTTATTTGGAGTCTGTCTAGTCTTTCAAATACAAATATGTGCTCCTATTTTAAATGAGAAAGAGGAGAATCAGAACAAGTTGGTCCGCAAATTCCCCTTCCAATGGACCAGGAAGCACTTTGACAGTAAGCTAGACACCTATGTGTGGAAGGAGGGGCAGTTCGGTGACAATGACACGAGGAGCTTCGATCTTATGACTGCCTTTGTCACAGGAATCACTCGTGTTCAGCATGCGGGCCGAGGATGAAAGCTGGTTAGGGACAAAGATGGGCAGATCTTGTATGAGCCTGGCTTGATATGCGTTGAGGAGCTCCTCGAGAACAAGGACCCTGTTAAATACTTGGGTATTTGATTTGTGTTTTGAATGATTATATTTGGTTAACATTTTTGAGTCCTCGTTTGCTAACTCTGATTTGTTGTTTGTTTTGCATATAACATGAACCCCATCCAGGAACGCATAGCTAGGAACCTTGCGGTGAAAGAAAAGAGGGCATTGAAAGATGTTCAGGGTGGTACAGAGAATGCTCCAATGTCGGGGTCGGGCAACTCGTCCTCGAGTCTGGCTGCTGGCGCCCTCTCTCCTGCTCACATGTCCTCGAGGGCGAAGAGACCATGCGTCAAGGGGAGCATTGATCTGACTGGAGAAAAGGGGAAAGGGAAGTATGATTTTCCCCCTTCTGGCTGGAGAAGTCTTTCTTCGAGGGTGTCACTCTACAACTCCAACGGACTGAGTCTCTTCACCTTGAGGGGTTGGAACGCCCGGAGAAAAGGGCGACTCTGGCGCAGGATGCTGGTGGCCTGATGAGGATACTGGAGATGGAAGTCGCCTAGACCGAGGGGATCCCTTCTCAAGAAGTTGAGCTAAAGAAGCTACGGGACAAACTGGACGTGGATGAGAAGGGGAAGAGCGACGAGGAGAAAGCTCGGAAGCTGGTTGAGGAAGATATGGGGAAGCTATCCGAGGAGCGCAAGGTATGGCTACTTGAGAAGAAAGCTCTGGAGGAGAGGGTGGCAATTTTGGCTACTTTGTGCTTACTAATGTTACAGACTTGTCTAAGTGGCTTTATGACCTTGATGCTCCTGCACCTGGAGATAATGCGCGAAGCGACCAAGGGAATGTCCAAGCAAATGAAATGGAGCAAGAAATGGAACAAGGAGACACTGAACAACAAGCTCCTCCTGAAAACATGGCAAGCACGTCCACTAGGCCCAGGAGAAGAAGAGAAAGAGTACCAGCCTCGAATGATAACATTATGGATTCCATATTGGAACAGGATAAGAGAATGCAGGCTATGTAAAACAACCAAAATGCAATGATGCAACTTATGTTGGCCATGCAAACTCAGCAGCAAGAATACAACAAAATAAACAA